AGGAGCAGAGCTGCAGGATTTTAAGGAAGCTGGAGGAGCAGAGCTGCAGGAGCCCAGCACTGATTCCCCGCTCCTGTGAAGGGACCCGGCAGAACTCGGCAGAGCCCGCGGTGCCCCTGCAGCACCCCATTGTTGCTACACATGCACAGCACTCACTGGGGAACAAAAAGCTGAATGAAATGGAGCAGCTGCCAACTCAGGCAAAGACAACTTAGGAAACTATCTCATTCTTCCTTTCTCTGGGAGGCTGTTTTGCCTGTTGTTTCCTTGCATACAAAATGCGGTCTGCAACAAATAAGGCAGGATAAGATACAGCGAGTCCTGTTACTTGCTTCCAAAACCACAGGCCCTAGACACTAYAAAGGAAGGGATAAATGGTGTATGTGCTGTAGGGACAATGTTCAAATGCATTTCATTCAAGATAGTTTTCCATGATTATTTTACAGAGGCTCTGAATTCTTAAGCACAGTGGTTCTTCCGTTTCTGTGCAGAAATTTGTAGATCTTTATGGGGGGACATCTCAGATCTTGGGAATTAAAAAAAAAGATCCAGGAACTGACATATGTGGCACATGGAAGTGGAGATATTTTAAATGCCATTTATTATGGATCCAGTCTTCAAAACAGCCCCACTCCACATTTTTGAGGGCTCACAGCCAGCTGTTTCAATAAGCCTTTAAAAAAATCCTTGGTTCCTTGTTTTTTCCTACTTCAGGCCCTTAAATATGCTTTGGATTTTCCAAACCACTCAATACACACCGGTTACCATCTGGGAACAGACTTTTAGAGAGGACTTCTGCCCACGTACAGGCATTGATTCTGCCTGAAAACTGCTCCCTGGCTGCTGATGCTGAGGAGGCCAACTCCATGTGCCATCCAGATGCAACCTGGATGCTGCTCTCCCAGGAGGTGARGGGATAGGTTTACCCAAGAAAGCTCTCAAGCAAAGCAGTATCTTGATTGCAAGGTCTTAAAATGCACCCTACCCATCCAGCTATCCTTCCTCACATCCCGTAATTGTGCACAGCAGGGATGCTCATATCCTCCTCCAAAGCATCTGGCTCCACCAGGGACAGGATGCTGCTCGCACTGGAGTGCTGCTCTGGGATGCTATAGGAATTCCTGACTTCCTGAGCTGTTTATTTTTCCTTTGCAGTGACCCATTGAGAGATGCACACGGAGCTCTGCGGCTTCCTGCGAGTAGGGCTGTTAACTCTTCACTCACCAGCCTCTCCAAGCAACCACAAATGAAATGTTCCCAACTCCACCTAGACTGGAACGTGCAATCCCCATCCTGCAGAGCTGTGTGAAGCTAGAATCAGAGGCACAGAACGGTTCRGGTTGAAAAGAACCCTAAAGGCAATCTTATTCCACTCCGCTGCCATGKGCAGGGGCACCTTGCTCTAGGCCAGGCTGCTCAGAGCCTCATCCAACCTGGCCTTGGACACTTCCAAGGATGGGGCAGCCACAGGTGCTCCAGGAAACCTGTGCCAGGGCCTCAACATCCTCTCTAGTTCCAGTTCCAGTTCTAGTTCTAGTTCTAGTTCTAGTTCCAGTTCTAGTTCCAGTTCTAGTTCCAGTTCATACAAGGATATCCAACACCACTGTGTTTTTGAAAGGACACTCGTGTGTTGGTCGTCTGCTTACCCAACATCTGGACTCTAAGTTACATGTTGTTTATTAATAATGTATTTATGGTCTAATTCTTAATGAAACATCCATTAAAAACATTCATTTTAGTCATAAGCGCCAGAYTCCAGCCTCAGTTACACCAATGGAAATCTAAAATAACACCACGGATTCCTGGTTCATGCTGCTATTTCCCAGCAAATAGACTGCACCCTTTAAATTATCATCGTAAAACAGTGAAAGTTCAAAAAAGCTCACTGCAGTTAAGTTGCATGAGTATTTCATCACCACTGTCTCTTTTCATCTGCTTGCAGCTTTGAAGCTGAAATTTTTCATGCTTCACCTCAGAYAGTGACATTTTTTGAAAAGCCAGTGGGAAAGTGCTATCATCTGTTTCCATGCTATGCAATCACACCCTCCAGAAGCCCCGGACCCTCTGGCTGGGCAGGACTAGCCCCAGCTGTCTGATGGCTCCTCTGGGCCACCACGAGACACTGCAGGGCCCAAAGGTTTTCCTCTACAGAACTGGGAATTTCTGGGACTTCTCTACTTTTCTCCCGTGTGATGCTCCTAATGCCCAGGAACTCTCATTTCTCCCTCTGCCCTAAGCCCCCTTGGAAAACAAAATCTTTCACACAGTGACAATGAATTAATTGTGTCACTGCAGGAACAGCTCTCAGGCAGCAGAAATTCGGAAGTGAGAGAACTGAAGCTCTTCATTCAACTTTAATTAAGTCCCAGTGTAAAATACATTGCAATAGTCTTTACTCTTCACTAACACAGCCCTGGGCCAACTCTTACACAATCCAGCCAGTACATTTTTTACAACAATGCATTTCACACATGAGGCTGCTATTACTACCTATTGCTAAGTCTGCCCCACACTCCTCTGAGAACCTTCTTTCAGTTGCTTCTCTCTCTCTCAAGCTTTAACATGTGGGATGAAAGTTTCCAGTCCTGGGTCCTTTTGCATTTTTCCAATGCAAAACTCACGGAGAAAATACCTAGCAAAGTACTTCTCCCAAATCGAAATGGCTGGCTAATGAAAAATACACTGTTTCCCCTGAGTTAAAAAAAAAAAAAGTGACAACCTTTGGTTATGCTGAGACTTGAAAGCTTGGAGGGAGTTAAGGCTACCTCTGCCCCAACAATGGAAACATCTCAAATAAAGTAACACCACCTTTACTTTCTGCRAAGTCTTATATTTTTAGCAATTAAATTATCCAGAAGCTCCTTTTGTCTTGAATTTGTTCATATTTGGAGTGAGACTCTGCTCTACAGTCTGTGCTTCTGTGGGCTGAGACCAGTAGCAAAGAGAAGAGAGCTGGTCTCTACCCAGTGCTGAGAGACTCTTGGAGAGGAGATATGAACAGAAAAATGTTAGGAGTTCTTCGTTATTTGGGAAAAGTGTTGTTGGTTTTTTTTTTCCAAAGCAATGTAGACTCAGTCAGATATGGGAAGATTTTCACCAGGATGGCAAAAAGAACAAAAAAAATCCCCTGTTTAATTGAAAAAGCTTGAAGGAATTTTCAATGCAAAAAGAAGCCCATCTGAGGCTGAGGGGATTGGGATTGTTCAGCCTGGAGAAGGGAAGGCTTTGGGGTGAGCTCATTGTGGCCTGGCAGTGCCTGAAGGGAGCCCACAGCAAAGATGGAGAGAGACTCKTGACARGGGCCTGGAGTGACAGGGAAGGGRCAATGGCTTCACACTGACAGAGAGGAGGGTTAGATGGGATATGAGGAAGAAATCGTTCCCTGGGAGGGTGGGAGGCCCTGGCACAGGGTGCCCAGAGCAGCTGTGGCTGCCCCTGGATCCCTTTGAGTGCCCAAGGCCAGGCTGGATGGGGCTCTGAGCACCCTGGGACAGTGGAAGGTGTCCCTGCCATGGCAGAGGGTGGCACTGGATGACCTCTAAGGTCTCTGCCAAACCAGGCCATTCTGTGATTCAATGCTTCAGACTTTAAGCAYTCCAAAATGGAAATATTCCTTTTTCTGTGCAAATCCAATTCCAATCAAAATTATTGGAAAACCMTGGAACTGCATTTGAAAACTMGGATCAATCTGATTGTAAGRAAAAAAAAAAAAARRAAACRTCAWAATTCTGCCCTTTTTGGTAAACTGGACTACTTACTCCTTTTTAATCAATTCACAAAAGCAAATCTTCATTTATCAATGCTATTATCACACAGATGCAGTAATTCCACATATWTACTCTGTGAAACAAGAGCAATAAAGGAGCACATGTTAAACACAGCCTGGATTGTGCCTGCCTCACATCCTGCCTGGGAATTAGCTCATYGCTCACTTCCTCCAAACCAAGAATTTTTGGGTGGTATCTGAAGGGGGGCAGTCTCAAGGTTGCAAGCACAGAACCAAGAGCAGCACAAGCCCTCCTGGTGTGCTGCCTGCCCCAGGGAGTGCTCCCCACTCTTTCCATCACCCAGGGCTTCCGAGGCTGCTGCACCACCTGGGCAGAGCAGAGCAGGATCTGCCCASCAAGCCTGGACAAAAATGGATCCCAGGAGACCAAGGAGCTTTGGAGACTCAAAGCAAAGTGCCACACTTGCAGCTCACTCTCTGCAGGAGCASCTCTCTCCCTTGCTCCACTCCTCCTTCAGGACCAGGACAGGGTTCATGACCCTGGGAAGTGAAAGAAGGAATGTGCAACACTCACCACATCTGTGTTTGTGATCTTGGCCAGGAGGTCCGTGAGGCTGTCCCCATCATCGAGCTGAAGGCCACAGATGGCTGCTCCCACACTTCCAGTTGCTATCATTGATGGTGGGTACATGGCAAAGTTAAAATCTGCAAGAACAGATCTGGGAATTAGTCCAAACCCAGACCAGAAAAGCTGCAAAACATCAGAGGCGAGCAACATAAAAAAAAACCACACCCAGGAATAAAACCCGGGGAAGTAGAAGAAAGGGAAAAGTGCCATTCTTTTTGGTCCCATGGAGCTCATTAGTCACATTGCTCATCACAAGCAGTCAAAAGAGGGGGAACAGACCTGCAAATTAAAATGGAAATGTGGTTCAGTCTTTTATTCTCACTGATGCATAAAGTAAACCTGGACAATTTTTAATAGTCTTTCCTTAGTTTTAAAGAAAAGGAAAGAGAAGAAGGAGCTTTTCTGTAATTTATGTCAGAAATTTGGGTCTTGGTCACATTAGACCTCTCTGTATAACCAGAAAACKAACTGGAATAAGGTATCACAAAGGATGAAAATAAGATTTTCAGTCACGTCAATTTTTAAAGAGTTAATTAATTCAAGCATTTCAAGACCTGTCCAGGAAAGAGATTTTAATTAACCGTTCATCTTTACTACCTTAGCAATTAGGAAGTGAGAACACTTACAGCCCATAGCTAGCTATGAAATCAAAGAACAAAGATCACATTTGTCATTGCTACTATTTCTTAATAAACAAGTTGAAAATACACTTCAAAACTTCCTCTCACACATCTATTAAATCAGAGGACAAATTAAAATAAAATCATGTGATGTTTATAAGGAAGTTTTATGGTTTATGGTACTGCCATAGACACTGATTTATCAGCATGTCTTGCTAAATACCAGATGTACTGCATCTTCGATATATTCCTTGAATGAAACTTGGATTTGCAAGTTCTTTGGTTCAACAATAATTCATTAACGAACCTTTCTCTATCAGTTTTTAGTTGRGGGACAGGAGTAGAAGGAAGAGTAAACCAAAGTAATACATAATAAGAAATAGAGCACAAGCAATACATTCCACTAATAGAAACAGATTATTACAGAAAATTGCCCAGCTGCAGATCCCAAAACCCCTCTGCTCACAGATTCTGTAACCCTGCTGATGCCTGTGTAACCACTCAAGTTTTAGACACATGGAGAGTTGTTCCCAGCCTCCCAGACTCCAAGCTGGCACATACTTCAATAGCTGTGGAGGCAGCATCTTCTTCTCCAGGCTGGAATATATCCCTGGGATTGAAGCAGCCCAGTATGAATGGCACTTGGGACATAACATTCCTCCAGATGGACCAGAGCTGGGGTGTTAGAAGTGGAGGCAAAAGGAGTTGAAACCCTGACATGGGATTGTCCATGTCATGAAGTCACCAGGAAGTGACCGCCTGCAAGCCCAACACTGCACACTGCTCCTACCAGCCATGGCACTCTGACAAACACATCTGAAGGAGCAAATTCCCACTGCCTGAAGCAAGGAATAGGGACTGCCATTATCATATCTCAGATGACACCAAAYTGGGTGSGAGTATTGGTCTGCAGGAGAATTGATCTGCACAAAGGCTCTGCAGCAGGATCTGGACAGGCTGGATTGACAGGCACAGGTCAGTGGAACGAGGTTCAACGAGGCCAAGTGTTGGGTCCTGGCCCTGGGTCACAACAGCCCCTGGGTCACAACAGCCGCTGGGTCACAACAGCCCCTGCAGCTCCAGGCTGGGCCAGAGGGGCTGCAAAGGGCCTGGGGCTGCTGCTGACAGCAGCTGGACATGAGCCCAGGCGTGCCCAGGTGGCCAAGAGGCCAAAGGCACCGGGCCTGGAGCAGCAATGGTGTGGCCAGCAGGACCAGCGCAGTGACCATCCCCTGCTGAGGCAGAGTGAGGGGCACTGCCAGTGCTGTGTCCAGTTCTGTGTCCATCACTGCAAGATGGACTTTGAGGGGCTGGAGAGAGTCCAGGGACGGGAATGGAGCTGGGGAAGGGTCTGGAGCGTGTCCAGGGATGGGAACAGAGCTGGGGAAGGGTCTGCAGAGAGTCCAGGGATGGGAACGGAGCTGGGGAAGGGTCTGGAGCGTGTCCAGGGGTGGGAATGGAGCTGGGGAAGGGTCTGGAGCCCCAGGAATGGCTGAGGGAGCTGGAAAGGGGCTCAGCCTGGAGCAAAGGGGGATCATTTGGGACCCTGGGGCTCTGCACAACCCCTGACAGGAGGGGACAGCCGGGGGGGTYGGGCTGTGCTCCAGGAACAGGGACAGGAGGAGAGGGAACGGCCTCAGGCTGGGCCGGGGAAGGGTTAGATTTGGATATTAGGAAAGATTTCTTCAGGGTGGTCAGGCATTGGGCCAAGTGCCCAAGGAGCGCTGGAGTCACCATCCCTGGAAGTGTTCCAAAAGCACGCGGATGTGGCACCTGGAGGTACAGTTTGGTGGTGAACATGGCAGTGCTGGGTTAGGGTTGGAGTCCGTGATCTCAGAGGTCTTTTCCAAGCCCAATCATTCTGTGATCAAAATCATTTCCATGTTTACCTCACGTGGATTTACGCAAACTCACAYAAGGGATAACCACACACCTGAGTTGGGAAGCAATTTCCGTGTTCAATCTTTGGATTTACCAAACTGTCCCTCACTCAGGCATGAGAACCATGGGTAGCAATCRACTTCCCACAGTTTTCCCCTTCTTGTCCTGAGTTTTGGAAGGGTGTAGTAAAACGATGATGCAGGGAGGTCCTGTGTCCAGCCAGGCAGAGCATGCTGAGTGAAGGGCTYCACCTGCGCTCTGAAATTCCTCGCCTCGCACGGCGACCTCCAGGTTATCCCAACACCGCTGCTCTCCTGGCTGATTTTAGATCTACTCCCAGAAACTGTCTTCCTAGGAAGCTGAATAAAGAGGCACAGTGTCCCTGCCAACCAGCACTGCTGTAGGTCTGCTTCCACGTGGGGTCACATGTGAACATTTCTATGCCCAATAACCTTGTTAGCTCCCTTAATGTCATTCATAATGCAAATGAGACAGCGAGCGAATGGCCAGAGGCCCAGAGTGACTAAAGCTCAGCATCCAGAAAGTCTTACATTGCCTCTAGCTCTAAACTAACTTCCCTCCATAACAAGCACCATAAACTTGGCTATCAAAGCTACACATGCCCAGTCTTTGTTGTACAACAGGCAGCGATTTGTATCACTGGCTTCTATTTTTAGCATATTAATTAACTACTGCAACTGGTGAGGCAAGTGTCTCCAACTGGAGAGTGTGGCACCATTGTCTGAAGTCATCACCTCATCTCGAGCTATTGAAAATCATGGCAGTGACCCTCCTGCTGATATGAATTTAACCTGACATGCCCACAAAGGAATGGGGGGTGGTGCACCAATTTTGTGCACATGGTTCTCCACATCACCCTGGACCCTATTAGTGTGGAAAGAGCTTATTGAAAGAAAAGAAGCCACATTGTGCTGGGCCACCTAGAGGGTTGAATAGAAAAGGCTGAGCAAAAGAGCAGGCAGCGCAATAAAGGCCATAATTAACATATTTCCATATTCAAGCAAAGCAATAACTACGTGAAATGTTTGTCAAGGTGCAATGAAAGCATAAATATTAAGTACCGTATCTGAGGGGATGCAGAACCGCCCTCAGAGTCTCTTAGATTCCATTGAGAAATTCAAAACAAGCTTTTTACATGCTATTTTCAATTATAAACCTCTATCTCTGCCTCTCCCATGACAACAAGACAAGCCTTGCCATCCTCATTCAGTTTTCACCAGGTAAAACTGTCCCCCCACCAGAATTAGGTAAAAAATTTACCCTCAGATTTTTTTATTTAAAAAAAAAAAAAAAGAAAAGAAAAGAAAAAAGGAAAAAAAAAAAGGTAGGGGCAGGGCAAGAGACCCTAAAATGTGAGCTGAAATATATGCTTTTACTATCAATTATTGTAGGAGATGACAAAACTTGAACTTCAGAGTAAATCTGATAGAAAGCACTTCTTACTGGGGACCTGGAATTTTATACAAAGCACTTCTCCCTGGACACCTGAAGCAAGAGCGAGGGCTAAACCCTTCTGTGTGCAAACTTGGTCAATGAGTACCCAGAGTCTGCATCGAAGACATTGCTCTGACTCTAACTTTGTTGTGATTTACAGATTTATAGCTGGGCTCAATTATCTCAGAGGTCTTTTCCAACCTRATCGATTCTTTGATCATGCCATTCTATGGGAAAAGTACAAAAGACTCTCATGGAAAGTTAAGAGAAGCAGTGCCAAAATGCATGGTCTATGAGAATCTGAGCACACAAACACTTCAAGGGAAGGCACAGAGCTGTTAGAAAGCTCAACTTGGTTTACTTTCTATTCCCAGGCAATAAGCATTAGAAACCATCCCATTCCCATTTGAGTATCCTCTGCATCCTAAACAACCTCAAAACCAAGGGACCAGCCCTGCACAACCCCATTGATGCACTAGAATTATACAGATAATGGTCACAGCCTGGCTCAGACTTCACCCAGCCAATGACTGCACTGTGAAGAAAAGCATGGATATGTATCTAAACACCTATGTTTAAAAGAAAAKTCTAAGATAAACAATGGAAGTGGTGAATTTAATTCCTTCCTGCTTTGATCCAAATGCAAACTCCAGGGTCAGTGTGCTTTTCCTTTTTTTTTTTTCTAATGCAATTGATTGCATCTGCACTGGCCATTTTTTTTCTCTTCCTCTTGTATTTCTCTAAGACACTGCAAATTTTCCTGGCGTTAACTATTTCCACTTTTAAAGGCAAAACCAGATGACTCTTGAGCCCTTCAAAGCAAACACAGAACTATCAAGTAAACCAGAATGCAGACATGCTTCCATTCTTGGCATAGGCAGGAAGGCAGACATCTCATTCTGTCCCTGGGCTCCAGCAAAGCAAACAGCATTTGGCCTTTATGGGTCTGAAGCATCCAAAATGTTAATGCTCCATCACAGCCATCCCCAAGAGGTAAAGGCACAGAAACACGCTCAACAACCTGTGTCAAGCAGATGAGCACTCACAACAGTACACTCATTAACTGATGGTAAAGACTATTTCTGAACAACAGTTTGCAGTGGGTGTTATCTGCACTTTTTCTGCACCTTCCTAACCAAGGACTAGGATGATGTTAGTGCCTGAACCACCAAAATGTCAGACCTGCAGCTGGTAAAAAGGAGGGCAGCTCCTCTGGCAGCTCTGGAGTGATGGCAGCTTGTATCAGCACATGCTCTCTTTCTCCATTTCCCTCCACCTCATCGAGCYACACTTGACTGGTCATGAAACATTCCTGGGGCCCTTCCCCTCGCTGATGGCACTTCCTTGGTTCTTATGGCTCCTTTTTGCTGGGAATCTCAACGTACTCATATGAGCTGCCTCTCCCTGAACAAGCAAGAGCCTTCTTTTGTTTAGCAATAAATTAATGTAATTATTCTTTCTTCTGCCACGCAAGAAATATTCGTGCAAACACCGCCACTTTGCAASACCTATTTAACTTCCCGAGACGTTAATTCGCACAATGAGGCCTCTGCAGATTTCCTTCTTCCCCTCCGCAAAGAACGGGCACCAAATAAAACTTGCAYGGCACTTTGCAAGGACAGACTCCAGTAACGCACGCTGGATAAGAAGGGATGAGGAGTGGAATCACCCAGCAAGAATTCTGAGGACCAAACAGGACCCAATTTCTGTTCAGACCCTGTGGCCTCATCTCGCAGTCTGCGCTCAAACAACGCYCCCATTGACTTCCACAGAACCTCTGTCTGAAGAAGGACACAGGATTTGGCCCAGAAGTTAAAAAAAGCCTTCTCAGCTTTCAAGTGCAGATGATTAATGTCCCAGAAACAGTGGGCAGAGGTTTGGCACACAGTTGGAAACTGTCTCAAAGCTGAAATGTTCCGGCTTTTCCTCAGCCTCTGTGCTGACACAGGCCCTGCAGGCCGCTGCTCTGAGATGCTGTGTCCACCATGGCACATCCCACCTGCCACAGCACTCAGCTCAGGCACACACAGACCGTACAAAGGACTGCTCCAGGCTTTTACACAAACTGCCTTCTATCTCCGTAAATCTGCGAAGGATTTCGCTTCCAAGTTTTGCTTGTCACTCAACTAAAACCCTGCAAAGCTMCTCACAGAGATTTCTGTCTCCATTACAGCTCATCTTTCTGAAAGCCTGTCATGCACAGGCTGSCCCCCTCCCTCCAAAACCATTCCCTCACAGGCTCCCGCATAAAAAAGGGGTGTCCTGCACCAAAACTGTGCAAGGCAGKGTCCCCTGGAGCAGCTGACACGGGAGTGTGCTCAGGTGGGTTTGCAATGTCCCCAGAGAGGGACACTCCACACCCTCCCAGGGCAGCTGCTCCAGGACTCTGCTACTCTCAGTGTACAGAAATKCTTCCTCATGCTGAGGTGGAATATTTTGTGTTTTGGTTTGTGCCCATTGYTCCTCATCCTGTGCTGGGCACCACTGGACAGAGCCTGGCACCATCCTCCAACAGCCCCTTGGAGATATTTCTATGCATTAATGAGTTCCCCTCAGYCTTCTCCAGACTGACCAGGCCCAGCTCCCTCAGGGCCTCCTCGTAAGAGAGAAGCATTAAGCACCACTTAAGGCCCCAAGCACATCCTTTTGGCACCTGGAAAATTCAGAAGCCTTCTGGAGGAGATTTTAGCTCACACAGGGAGCCACCAGTGGTTTGAGAAAACAACAGACTGGTGACAGACTGGGCTATGCCAGTGCAGAGTCCATCTACACACCCTTACTGTGCAGTGAGCAAGGCAACTGGRGGAAAATGCCACTTCCATGTCCTCCTCATGGAGAAGGAGATTCCTGAAAGCACTGTGAGTGCAGAGCAATGAAAGAGAAAACTCTTTATTCAGGAACAAGCTTCTGTCCTGCTCAGCAGCTGTATGTTCCAACGGGACCAAGGGCAAAGAGGGAGACATTCCAGCTCCGGTCATGCTCACGTGAATCATTAATCGCTGCAAAGACTGGGGAGAGGCCATGGGTTTATATCCATGCTGCTTGTTTCAGAAACTGGGCTCAAAACAAAGACAGAGAAACGGAGAGAGTGCAGAGTGACCAAACATAACAAAAGGAATATACAGGAAAACAGAATATCACCTTCTTCTGTGGAACATTCAAATGGAAAGGAGAACAGGGATGAGTATCACGGGGACCCTATAACATCCAGCACAACACCCACTAACTGCTCATGTCTGAATCCCTGTTTGTTTTCTGACACAAAGTGTTGCAGGACGGAGATCAAGGCCAGCTCTGTACAGGCAGGGAACACCACGGAATTTCTGGTATAGCGTTTTTGCTGGGAATTTAAAATGGAGCACTTGATGAAGAAGAACTAAGGCTAGTTGAGAAAAGTTCAAAATAYGCCAGATTTTGCATTATACATCAAAGAAGAAAAAGTACTTGAAAGCAGAGAAAGCTATACTGAGATGAATCAGGAAATAAAAAGAGATTGACTGCAAAAAAAGAGATTGACTGCTGTGCTCCAGAGCAGAGCTGTTAGCCAGGCAGCAAGGTCAGGTCTGGGAACAGTGAAGAGTCAAACCAAGGCTAAGAACACACATGGGGAGCAAGGGAAGAGGGAGCCTCGTGTCAGAGGAGGTCCTACTGCTGAAAGAAGGTAAATGGGGAAATGAAACACCAGGCTTAACCCGGGCTGGYAGAGAGCAGCAGCTCTAAGGAAGAAAGAAAAAGAAGAAACACAGTGGCTGATGAGAGCTCTGCAACAAACAGGACAAGAAAAGGAAATGACAGCTGGAACTGGAAGGAAGTCTGATGAGAAGGGGCTTTTCTTCAAAGAGTGGYGGTGAAAGGGAAATAGTGTAGTAACAACATTTCCATAACAGAAATTGAAGTAGCACTCACTGGTAGAGTGGGAATGTGGTACTGGGGCCTGGGTAAGATTTCTGCTTTCAAAATGGCAAAGAGCTGTGGGTCCTCCTCAAAACTACACAGGGGTCTGCGAACAATGGGATGAGAAGGAAAGAAATCTCCAGCCAGCACCATGGTGTCCTCGCTTTTGGGAAGCTCTGTACTCAGCAATTWTGTCCTTCACTTTTATGAGAAGAAACTCTTGACTCGTTGCCTCTTTAAATTCTGCACAAGGGACTTAATTTCGTGCACTGAAGACATGTAACATGAGAGGCAGATCACATGGGGAACACACATGAGGGAGCTGCATGACTGGGCTGAGGGCTGGRAAGGGGGCACTGGTTTGGATCTCARTAAAAGGATTTCTAAAGCATGGAACTAACCATCAGAAAATTCATGGAGTGGAAAGAAGCCATGGACTTCRGAGATTCCTTCATGGCCCACGGTCTCACAATGGTTTGGTTATACTGAAAACTTCAAGGGCAAAGGATTATAGACCAGAATTTGAAAAGTTAAATCATAATGGAAGTCTAGGGCACACAAGAAAATGTCGTGCTGGATAAAAACATAAACCAAAACACTATTGTAGGAAGCGAAAGCAGCAAGAGTGGTAAGATTGGCTGGTTTGGAAGGCAACACAGAGGTGTATTGGAGTTTGATGATGTGAAGATGCAGGGAAATGTCCATGGGAAAGACCACCTTTTTCACAACAGAAAAGGCAGAACAGTGAATGCAACCTGAGTAAGGTGAGAAGGCGAAGCAGGTAGAGCTGATCCAACAGATTAACCATAAAGTMCAAAGCCAATTAGTCCAAAGTGTCTAATGAATTACCAAGAGTGATCCCGCAGAATTTGAGCCATCTYTCTATCAAGTCCTGCGGTCTTTGGCGTGAAAAGGATCAAACAGCAGTGGGAAATGAAGGGAAAGCCTGAGCAACCAGAAAGTCAATTACCCTAACACAGCCCATATACAAATCTCTGCAACAGATCAACTGAGGTAGGATTGACCAAAATTGTATCAGTAGTCACCACATCTTGAATRCCAAGAAGCAGACATTAAACCCAAAAGATGCACCGAGTCTTCCTGYAGGGAAACCTCTGCAAACACACAGGCAGAACAGCCCCTATCACAAAGGAATTGGTGAATTCAAACACTGCCATCCACTACTTGRTAATGACTCTGGAAAACACTGCATGCTGTTTATCTGATCCAGGTCCATCTTCTAAAAAGTGGTTTTATGATTTACCCTTTGAATGAATATTCACTACACTTCTTTTGTGTATTTGTAGTAAGTACACTTATTTTGTAAATGCCACTGAGGGAAGAAAAATCCAAACAATAAAACTACACAGAAAAAAAACCTCAGTGTTTTGCAGACAGATCAAAACTAAAAAGTCTCTTTTCCACACTGGCAATTATTCTCATCTAAATCTTCAGAGACTGTGTTCAGCCATATGCCAAAAAGGGCATGTAACGGTTCCTTATGAAACAGGGWAGTTTCACTGTTTTCCTGGAATGAAGGTACGAAAGAAAAAAACGTTTTGCGTTTTTTTTAGAAGTAATTGCCTTCTAAATTGTCATTCCTTATGCCTCAGGGATATGGTAGTATCACAGAAATGTTAAAATATACAATTTTACCTTTAATCTGGACAGAGAGCAGTTAATGAAAAGTTCATGAACACATCCATGCAATGCATTAGCTGAATACATTTTGGGCTAATGTGCCCTAACAGCTTCTGTATTTTGAACAGCCCTTACAAATGACCCGTGGCCCTCTAAAAGAAGTAGTGAATGGGTAAAACAAAACACAGGATKATCTATTCCAGTCTTAGAAGATTTTACTGCAAAAGCACCACACACATCAGCTGCACTACAGGTCAYTGCTGCCAGAATTCTGTTCTTACAAAGTTTTGGGGCCTGATTCACAATGTCCTTTGCAAACTGTCCCATGGGATTCAGCTGATCATCCCACATCATGTAAGGATGTAGGGGATGATGCACCACYAGGAACAAATCCACCCTTCCAACCACAGCAGCAGCAGCAGCCAGAGCAGCTCAGCCTACCTGTGGCACAAAGGGCGATGAAAGTTTGTGCATGCTTCCGGATCAAAAGCAACTTGTCTTTAGGGAGAGGAACCTTCCTTAGGATGTGTTCAATGAAATCGTGTGGGGTGACAGCTGCAAGATTCCACTTCAACTTCCCCAGCACCACCAGCTCCCATTCCTGCAGAGCGGGGACAGGGAGAGGAAAAGAGAAGAAAAGCCATAAGCAAGCCTGCAAAAACACTCTACTTATTTCTTACTRTATCACCACTATATTCATTTTGCTCAAACACTTTTTTCCACATACCTCTGTTGCTTTGAAATTGTTGACTTTTCTTTTATATTTTTGAACACCTRAAATGTCAGGCTCTACTGAAAATAATGAGACTTGGCAGCTCCTGCCAAGGTTTTACTATTTCTTTTTTTTTAATCCAGTGCTGAATGCCCACCCAGAAAGTTAGCCTGCRATTAGATATTGCCAAGGTCACTGTGGTCCTTTTCTAGTAACTACTTTTAAATGGTTACAGTCCTTACTTTATAGCCATTTAAAGCCCTAGGGATAGCCACGCACAAAAAAAAAACCCTAGATATAACCCCTAGATATACATTCATGGGGAAGTTAGCTTGATGGCATTCCCTCCCAAAACTGTACTCRAAAGGTCCTGCAGATAAATCTGAAGGTACTTAAACTACTCCAAGACAGGCTCTGCAGAAAGGAAACGCACACAACACAGCCAAGAAGTAGCCAGTGTAAATTATCTGCCAGTAAATCTTGTAGGAGCCATTCCCAGATTCTTTGCACGCCCAAAACTCCCACTGCAATCAAAGGAAAACTTGGGCGTGTACATAACTACCAGCCATTCCCTGGAATGGGATTCCATGTGCAAACAGCACCCCATCACCAGATCCAGCCCTGGGGTGCATGACCTGCATGTTTCAACATTTAAACCAAGTTCTGAACATTTTACGGTGCCCCACAGAGTGAGCAAAGCCCAGGCCTCCAACTCGCCTTTGCATCATTCAGTAACTATTAGCTATTAACAAAACTCCATGCACTGATTCTCGAGTCCTGATGATGCCTGATGGAGCCCAGCGTGGTGGCGAGCCCCAGCTGACCCCACAGAGCTGGCAAATCATAAAAAAAAAGGTTCTTTAATTTTGCAGCCGAGGAGACGTCAACCAGCGTTGCTGAGAAACCATAAACATGGACCCCACAGTGCCATTTCTGCAGTCATTTCCCTGAATAGATTCCCACTTTTAACAGCGAGTTACTTTCCTACAGACATTCCTGCTGGATTATGACAGAGCCCTCCACGGCCTGAAAAATCTCACGTAGATGCAAAAGGCCACAGAAACCAGATGGGTATTTTTAAATTTSTCAAGAAAACCTGTAAAATTTTGAAATGTTAACAGCAATTAGGTGAATTAAAGCCTGTTCTTCCCAGAATTCCTGATGTGACAGGTATTGAGAGATAACAGTAAATTCAAAGGACCAAATACAAGGAAGCACTTAAAACACACGCTTAAATCCATGTGGCACAAGAAGGCAGGGACGCCTTTCTGCGTATTTGCACATGGGGACCACGACACTTCCCCTGCCAGCCCGTGCCACCAACATGATACCTCCTGTCCCCTCAGAGGACAGCCAGGCAGGGTTTGAGAGCAAGGCTCTTTAACTTTGTAGAAGCAGGAGTTCCCAATCCCAACCCCTCCCCAGCGGGAATTCCCAGTGATTCATAGGAAAAACACTCCTGCAATTTGGATGGCTACATGCAGCTCTCTGACCTAGCATCCATGTCACCAAGGGACCCTGGTGCAAGTCCAGCACTCCGTATCATAATGTAAATGTAACTTCCTTCAATCTTTATCACTTTTCTCCGCTTTCTCCATGCCTTTACTGAGAGAAGCAGCAGACACTGTGAGGTTTAACTGCGCTGTAYCGCSCAGGATGGGTCAGGCTGGAAGRGACCACAGAGGGRCACCCAGTCCCACCTCCCGGCTCCAGCAGGGCCATCCAGAGCCCGCAGCACAGGGCTGAAATATCCCCAGCGAGGGAGACCACACTCGGTCTGCAGCCAGTGTGTCCAGTGCTGGTCTTTGTGCACAGTGAAGCGGTTCCTCCTCCCTCAGGTGCCATCAGCCGCTGCGATGCCCGCTCCCCTCGGACACGGCCCAGCGATCCCACCCGCGCCCCGCCCGCACCGCCGCGTGTCTGCCGCCAGAGGGCGCCGCCGCTCCGCCCGCCCGC